TCTTTATTGATTTGCCTTTGCAATAATTACCCTATTTATTTATTGTCCATTATATTTTTCAACTTTATTACTTATTTTTAAGTAATTAAGGCAATAAATAGCATTAAAGAACTAAATAGGGTAAAAAAAATACAAAGGAAAATTAAAACAGACAAAAATATAACATGCACATTAATAAATAAGGTAATTATTACAAAGGTGAATAAATAAAGAAGCTAGTAAGAGATATATACATTTATGTCTCACTGTATACTTGAATTTCTAACTACATTTATTTATTAGTTGTATTTTTGGGGGCAATTAATTTTATGCTTACTATTTATTGAGCATTTATTTATTTATTTTTAGATATGGTAGAGCTGGTCCTCCATAATTAGATGATGATCGATAAATAAAAAGTAATAAAAAAAATAGATAGTGTGATATTAAAATAAGTCGTGTCCAATAGTTCCCTGCATTCACTCCCTTAATTATCATAGTCTGTTAAGAGATACTAAACTGGTCAAAATCAAGAAATATGGATCAGAAAAACAATCTTTGCAAACAAAGTGTAATATAGTCTTCAAAAAGTGTAACACTGAACTACAACTGTGGTTTAGCATTTTTTTCCAAATTAAAACAACATGCTATCAGTTAGGGCTGCAACCAACAATAATTTTGTTAATATATTGATTATTTCTTTTCGAATAATAATCGGATAGCAAAATTTCCTTAAAGAAGATTTTTTACTGAATTTAAAGGAGAGGAAACAGATTTTTCAACTTGAGGAGGTTTGGATAGAGCACACTGATAGATTAAGAGTAGGGCTGCAACTAACAATTATTTAGCAAATCATTTAATCTGTCGATTATCTATGGGGCTGAAGAGGTTTTTTGCTGCATACCTCATGTGGCATTTCTATGAAACATCAACAGTTGTTGATGTTTCATAGAAATGGAGAATCATAAAGAAAAAAATGTATATTGCATCAGTTATCTCAGATTACCCTTTTTTTTCAGGCTTTTGATAACTTTATACGTTTGGTAATAAAGAACAGGGGATTCAGATGTGAGCTCTTCTACTTGCATCCAGGAACTGAGGTTTAAGACTTACCGGTAGTCAGATGATTAAAGCGTGCAAAAAATGAGGAGGATTTCACTCTTACATTCCTAAACAAGAGATATCCTAACATTTCACCATCTTCAAGAACTTCTCTTTGTAGCTAAAGTTTAAACATCAAGCCAAAGGCAAAAGTTTATCAGTTTAACTCACAGTAATGTGGCCAAGTGGTCAGAACTTCTTTCAAGTAAACTCCATTAACCAAGTTTCTGAATGTTTGATAAGCATCCAGCTCAAATTTAAGACCTCAATTTATGTTGATTTTACAGAATTCAGCCTGAGCATAACAAATACAGTCAAAACCAACCAAAAGTGATGATCTATGAAAAAGCAGAAAAAGAGAATTATGTGCACGCATTAAAAGTAGCACTCCAGCTGTGAACGGACAAAATGCAGTCGAGGTAGCCAACAAGCCGCACGGCTGCCTTGAATCAATTAAAAGATTAAAGGGGAGATACCAAGTCTCTTACATCAGTTTGTTACATAACTAATACATTAAACATCAATGCAGAGGCAGAAGCTTCAGAAATTAAAAACAAACAAACCCTAATGTTAAATGATGAGGAAATGGTTACCAGTAACAATGACAATAGAGGTTTTAAATTGTTGCGGTTACAAAACCGCTCAAATATGACAATTTAATGTTTTAAAAAAACCTCCTAGAATGACCATAACTTTCCCTGCCTTTATAGTGTAGACAAAAATGGCACTGAGCCCTCATCTACCAACAGTACCTGTCAGGTAATTGTAAGTTTTCCCCTCATAATGATAAATATGGCTGCATTATTAAATGATTGCAGTACACAGAAAAGAGATAAAGCATTGGAAGTCAAAGTAAATGAGCGTCTGCCCTCAATCTATTAAATGTTCATGGTTTAAAAGGCTAGCTACCTAAGCTGATTGGCCAATTCCTAAAGCTGCTTATATGTCTACTCCCAATATTACTCTGTTATAAGAACAACAAAAAGGAATATTGTTCTGTTCAATAAATGTTTAAAAGTAGGGGTGTCCAGATCTGTCCAATATTAGCCAAAAAACTAATAATTATATCAGCCTGCATCTAAAATCTCAGTGTCATACTAATAGAAATACACTACTTCTGTTTAAAGTTTCTGTAACTCATTGATTAACATTGCATGGGTCAGTTACTCTCATACTTATTGTTGTGGACTGTTGTTCTCTGTTTTAACAGTATCACTTGATCAAACCTTTATTGGTTTAATACATTACATTATAATACATTATATGTATTGGTTGACTGTTAGGTCAACCAATACATATAATACAAAATAAGGCGTTAAAGCATGTATGATTGGTGCTAATATTTCATCGGGTCAACATCTTTATGGGTCTGAAAGCTGCAATATTGGTATTGCATCAGAAATGAAAAAAGTTCTATTAAAGAGTCTACAAATTAAATCTGAATATTTATTCGAGAAAAAATGTAAATATAAAGAAATTATCAGTACTGTGGGTTTCTTAATTTTGGTTGATATGATTTAATTTATATCTTCATATCAATAAAAGCCTCAAAAAGCCAAGAATGCCTAAATCAACCTGCAAAAACTTATGAGAAATATGTTGCTGTGTTCAGTCCTCCAAAATAATATTTTAGAAATATTCGCTTTAAAAAACAAAACTGTAAACACAGACTGTAAAGTATAATGAATATTGGAAAAGTTATATCACTGTATTAAAAAAATTGTATTTTGATTTAGATCCATATAAGACTAATGCCCACTTCTTAATAGTCCTGACTATAACTTTATATTTTCCGTTTGATAAACGGACTGACACCTTAGTAGTTAAGCGCCGTCAAGCGAATTCATATTTAAACAAGTCCAATCTAGCAAACAATTGATGTGTTATATTCAATATAGATTTTGTAGATGCCCAGAAGCAACCGGCATCCAGCTCAAATTCATGTAAGGTGAAAAAAGTAAAAAAAAAAAAAAAAAAAAACTTGTGACGTACAAGCTGCGAGAACGAGCAGAAGAGGGATGCAGATCTGTGCTTTGGCCACAGGTGGCAGTGTCATTAGAAAACCTCAGACAGAAGCTCTGTCATGACTTACATACACTTATACATAAAACTTTCACATTTAAAAAAGCGCCCCAATTAAAGAGCATGACTTTCAAGCCAAAGATGCAAGTAGCAGCAATCATTTCTGGAGTGCTTCCAAAATTTATAAAAACTTCCAAAACAATGCAGAAGCTAAAGAGATTGGGGTACACTTTTACATTTATAATAATATTAATTAAAAAAATCAGCTCTGAAATGGAGAAAAATAAAGATATCCCAGAAAAGAAAAGAAAAAGTGTAATTATTAATAAATGGAATTATGAGATCAAATTACACAGGCATCTATTTAAAACAAATATAATACCAAAAAACTAAAAGGCCGGAAATTTTTGAAGCTTTGTAACCACTACCTGAATCTTTGGTGTACCTTTACAACGATACCAAAAATGTGCCGAGTAAAGTTCATGAAGAAAAAGAAAATAAGGATAAAACTTAAATGAATAATGCTAAAATGTATGTGTTTTGTAAATTGTAAATTGCAACATACAGTGAGGAAAGTTCTCCCACTTACAAATCATAGAGGGGTCTGACATTTTCCATAAGAAGCATGTCAAGGTTCTGGCATGGCCTACCCAGTCTAGAGATCTAAACCCAATAGGGAATCTTTGGAGGGAGCTCAAACTCTCTGTTTCTCAGAGACAGCCCAGAAACCTGGCTGATCTAGAGAAGATCTGTGTGGAGGGGTGGGCCAAAATCCCTGCTGGAGTGAGTGCAAACCTGGTGTAAAATTACAGGAAATGTTTGACACCTATGTCACTGTAAACAAAGGCTAGTGTACTAAATATTAAAACTGATTTTCACAGCTGTTAAAGTAAGTATCTGAGGCAGCAGTATGCAAATAATAATAAAACAAACATTGTGATTCTTTTTCTTTCAAAGTGGACATGCACTAAGATGAAAATGTAGGATTCTCGATACTTTTTCAATGCAAGTCGGGGAGAAACACAGACCTCGGCATGTCCAAAACAAACCATAGTCCTCAGAGAAACCTGAATCAGATATGTGCCTTTAGACAGAAACATAATCAGGCTTTTAATTAAATATTTCTCCAGTTGCTTCCTGGATTCTTCTCTAACAAGCAGGAGCATTGGAAGTCAGTCGTCATTTCTGGGATTCTTGCTGGGAAATAAAGGGCTGTAAAACTATGGGAGTATCATCATTCCTCTTTGCTCCTCAGAAAACCCAAATTTGACTGATGCCACAAGAAATAAAAAGAATCTTTCAACCAACAAAAACATCTATCTTGACAAAAGAGGGCCTTAAAAAGTAAAAAAAACTCTGTGCCACAAAGAGAAAATTTCAAGACTTAAAAGCAGAGGCAAACATGAGACGAGAAAATAGATGACAAACAATGAGCTGAAGAAAAGTTTGAGAAAGTAAAGAGAACAAAGGAAACATATGGATGTAATTGAGGGTCTATGAAGTGCTGATGTCATCTTCCAGTCAGGTTATCAGGCCAGAGGCTAAAACTGCTCACCAACCCAGAGAACATGCTTTTCAACTCCCGAAATATGAGAGAACAGCAGAAACACACAACGTGTTACAGCCCACATGCTTGTACATGAGCCAGTCGGGGTTCAGGCTTAACGCAGCATGCTTTAGGTGTTTGCTTTATCTAATCTGTAAACAGAAGGCCCCATCCTCTTAAATGTTAACTGCGGTTAAAGATTTTCTTTGCATGTGCATACACACAAGCCCATTCTGTCCTTCCCATTAGCCTCTTTGGCATGGCTGTACGATGACCTCATCTGTGTTGGGCTGTAGTCCAGAGAAAACACACATGCCCACACACACACACAGAGCACTAGAGCCTGGGCAGTCCCATATAAGGATATGCTGATGATGTAATGGGCGCCACAGACTTGCTGCGAGTGAGAGTCAGTTTGCAGAGAACGTCTCATAATGTTTGGTTTTCCGGATGGAATGTCCACATCATCAGGAAAACGGCATATTCCCAGGACTTTTAAGAAGGAAAAAGGACGACTTCTATGTGCAGGTATGAAACAAGTCGAACGAAAGTTATTGAAAGCTGCTAACTTTGATTATAATTTCAAGAAAGGCTGAGATATGCTGCTGACAAGTATTAGCTAAAGAGTGTTTTACAAAGTTCAAAGAGTTTATCTAACAGGACCCACATTTTGTAGTGAAACTTAAGCTTTCCCTAAACAACATTTATATGTAATTAGGGAATTTAAATGTTATAATCTGAGCTAATTTAAAATCCTGTGAACTTTTTGTGAAGTTCCAGCTCGCTTTGCATTGAGCTACTTAAAACATTGTTGCCTTACTTTTTTGACCAGCCCTGCAATTTATTTAGCAGACTTTTGTAAGCTTAGAAAAATAAGTGGCATGTTTTTAAAGTACAAAGCTGAATTGCAGTTTTTCAATATACATTAAAACCCCAAATGTGCACACTTACATTCTTCATTAACAAAATCAGGCAAACATATAAAACTACATATCAGCGCTTTGCTGAGCTTTGGAAAGCTACCGGTCCGAGCTCAGGTACAAGGCTTAAATGCGGGTTAAAAGATCACAACGGTCTTCCTTCTCTAAATTGTTTTGTGTGCATTTATTTTTTCAAACTTTCTGGTTGGACTCCAAATTCAATTCTAGTTTGCATCCAGGGAAATGTGGAGGACTGACATCTATTGACGAAAAGTAGCCAGTTTGTAATTACTTCAAGGACGATGGGGAATTCCTGCCTCTCCGTGCTGCAAGTTTGGTAGCGTTAGAGATGCACAGAGGGAGGGAGGCTGGCTGCAGTGCTGTGCGCACTTCAGAGTAGAACAACTTCTTAATTAACTAACGCTCCCTACTAAGGGACCATCTGCCATGTAAGCCAAAAGATCCTACAGATTACATGCTCACTGGAGAGAAATACCCCAAAGTAAATGAACATGCTGAGGTAACTGCTTGGTCTGTGTGCAGTGGGACAAAAAAAAAAAAACAGAAAATAAAAATCAGGCTTCTGCAGATTTTTTAACCATTAGCAAACTTTCACAGAGTAATGGGACATTTTAGGCCATCGGGCTACTTATAAGCACACTGCACCAGGAAGAGTGTAATTCTATGAAGACAAATTAGCACCATATAGTTATTATCTTATCATCATGGTAATGATTAAAGCTTTCAGAAAGATCATCTATTAACTAGATGAAAGGTTATTAATTAAGTAAAGATTTGGTTTTGATTTGGCTCTCTGGCTTAAAGGGGAACGTCGTTTTTTTTTTTTTTTTTTACATTGGACCCTCGATTTTACGTTATTACATCATGTTCTACTCACCCATATTAGTTTTGTGTCATCTGGAGCTGTTCCGAAGATATTTGGTTTTTTAATCCAAGTAACGTCTCTCTATGGCAATGAGTTGAAGGCACAAACTAAACTGTTCATAATTTATCATTCATGGTACGCCAGCATTCATAACATGTAGGCGAATCACTGTCCCCCAGACATCCGCGGTTATAATTTTTATATTTTTAAAAAAGAAATCAAGAAGTCAAATCCAGGCCTTACAGATACAATGAAATATGAATTCATTGTTTTACACTACAAAAGAACAACAGTATTAGACCGTGGAAGGTAATGAACTCAACAGTTATTCCAAATTATAAATGTTAAGATACATTAGATTAGGGCTGGGCGCTAAACTGAATATTTACCGTTACCGTCATTCACTACGATAACCGGCGAAAAATTTCCCATGTATGTAAAATAACTGTACTTAATTCTGCTGTTTTCAGCTGTAAACAAAATTACATCAATTAATTCTGTGGAGCAGAACGAGAGCAGAGATGAAGCTGAGCGCACAGAGAAAAAGTCGAGATTGCGTTGTCAGATTTAAGCGCACGGCAGACCGGTTTTAAACAAGGGTGCGCGAGTTTAAACGATGCACATTGTTCTCACTGCTCACTCAGTTGGGTGGCACTAAAATTACGCCATAGATGTTCAGCAAAAGCACAGGAAATGCAAAGCTTGTCTGAAAACTGTTTGGAACACCCAAAGTAACACATCAAACCTCCACCACCTCCAGCACAACCACGCCGTTGAGTGTAAAAACGAGCGAAAGGCTCCATTACCTTTGCGCAAAAATGTTTGTTAGAAAGTTAACATTTTTCTCCTGTTCAATTAGACATTATTGAATGTTTAAACCTGAATGAGTAAAAGACTTTAATATTTAATTAAAAGTAATATAGTAGAGGAGCTGGAGCATTTATTGTGCACTTATCGTTATTGAGGTAAAACTTCCCAATTTATCATGATATTGATTTGAGGTCACATAGCCCAGCTCTACATTAGATTCAAACTTCAAGGTTTTTATACCGTTATCATCTGATACCAGTATATGCCTTGCCTACGTACTGGTAATTGGAATGTCTGAAATATGTGTAATTTTCTCTCTACAGACTCAAGATTTTGTTAACAGAAGAGAAAAGATACCACAACTTCAAGAGGGAGAAAATGAAAGAGAAATATCAACTCTACAAGACGAGTTAACCTAGCTGAAGGTTTTTTATTCTTGCTGCTTGCTGCAGAGAAATATTAAACTGCAGTGGTGGACAAAATATCAAGTGTTCCACAACCCCCACCGTTCATACTGAGAGGTGGCTCATCAATGATCAACTTAGTGTAAAAGGTACCGCTTACATTTCTGAACTTTCAGGCTGACAATTTCAATACAGCAAAAGAAAACCAACAAAAATAGCATGACGGCCCCGAGCTTGTTGACTGAAGTGGAGGTCCTGAGGAGGAGGGTGTTGGAAATGGAGGGGAAGGACGAAGAGCTGATACGAATATCGGACCAGTGTCAAGACCTTGACCGCAGACTGGCAAATGAGACCAGGAACTGCCGGGGTTTGAAGTTTGAGGTGGATAAGCTCAACGGTAGACTCTGTGAAATGGAGAGGATGGAGGGGGCTTTGGGTAAAAACAAACAGGATTGTAGTATCCTGAAGAGCAGCTTGGAGAAAGAGAGAGAGTTCAGCAAGGTGATGTCTGGGGAGCTTGACGCTCTAAGAATTAGGGTGAGAGAGCTAGAGGCTGTTGAGGGTCGACTAGAAACAAGTGAAATGATTGTCAGACAAGACCTGGGCAAACTCCGAGCCTTGACTGCGGCTCTGGTGGAGGACAGAAAGACTATGGCAGAGAAGCTCCGACAGGCAGAGGAAAAGATGAGTAAGAAAGAGTGCAAGAGAAATGAGCAGGGTAATTTGGCAATGATGACAGAGAGGCTGCGAGAGGAAAAGCAGCTGGCACTAAGATCTAAGGCAGATTTAGAAGAGAAGATTAAGAACATAATGAAGGAAAAGGATGAGCTCCAAGACAGACTGAAAACAGAGGAGGATAAGAACAGGGAGTTACAGAGTAAAATAACCACAATGAAGAAAAAATTAAACCTATTTGAGAACAGGAAAGAAAAAGAAGAGAAATACACAAGCAACAGCGCTCATTTATGCCAAACTGAGGACAATAAAGTTAAAGAGCTGACTAAGGAGCTTGATGAGCTGAAGAAGAGACTCCAGAACAAAGAGGTCTTAGAGGCAGAACTATTGAAAGTAGATGGAGATATTGAGGCTCTTGAAAGGAGGCTTCATGATGAAAGGAGGAGGTCACAAGCCTTAGCGACAGAGCTAGAGGAGGCAAAGAAGGAACTTGCCAGCTACAAGCATGGAGAAAAGGAGGAGGTCAACAAGGAGCATCTCCTTCTTTGCCATCTTCAAAAAGAACAGGTCAAATCCAGACTCCTAACAAGAGAAGTAGACACCCTGAAGGAGAAACTCCAGAAGCTGATGGGGACAGAGGAGTCAATCTGCAAGGTCCAGATGGATCAATCAACACTGCAGGAAAAACTGACCCAGCAGGAAGCCAAGAACAAAGAGTTGGCCCAGCAGATGGAGAAACTGACAAGTGAGCTCAGCAGTTATAGACAAATCAGGAACTGGACATCTGTTGCCAATAAACACTTCCCAGACCTCCATCAGACCACCAAAGAAGTGCAAACTGAACCTGAAGAAAACCTTGTTTCCAACTGCAACATGCATAGTAAGAGACTGAATGAAGGAAACTCTGCCAAGAACCACAATACTGAGGTCACAAATAGAGAAAGCACTGTTGCCAGCTTCGACACAGCAAACAGCAACACCAGCAGCTGCTCAGAAGAGGATATGCACCAAACTGTTAACGGAGAGGTGATGATGCTGACACACACACCAGGACAGCCCCTTCAGATTAAAGTCACACCGCATCATATGATTAGCACAGCCACGCTCGAGATTACCAGCCCTTCTGGAGATACTAGTACTGCCAGCACCCCAACAAGTGCAGCATCCTCAAAGCAGAGAATCACCATCATCCAGAGCTCAAGTTCCCCCGTTGTTAATCCTAAGAGCCCCACTTCTAGTCCCGACCGCACCCTCTCCCCAGTCAATGGATCTCCGATCTCCCGGGTGTTAAGTCCAAAATCATCCCGCTCTGTTACACCCGACAACAATTCACCCATTCAGATTGTTACGGTCAGAACATGTTCTCCTGAGCCAAGAGAAGTTGCAAATCCGGCTATTTTCTGCAAGACACCCGAGAGGTCGAACAGTTGGCAGCGTCAAATGTCCAACAGCAGTGATGCAAGTCCAAGTATCATCACAACAGAGGACAGCAAGATCCACATCCATCTTGGAAGCCCCTACATCCCGCCTCTGAATGGTATGGCCCAAAGCATTCCACCGCCTGTTGGGCCATACTACCTTCGGCATGAGCAAAGGACTCAAGTGATCACCAACGGATGTCACGTGAAAGGTGTTGGAAAGATCACCAGCAGCATCACAATATCCCCTGCTAATGCCCATGCATCACACTCAAACATCACTTTTAGTGGTCTTTGTGATTAGGAACAAAAATGAATTTACTGCACAAACTTTTTATTCACATATAACCATTGTAGTAACCCAGATGTGCCTTTCGTTAAACTTATTTACTTCTATGTAGACCCTTTAAAAATATTATAAAAAATTAAACTGGTACACCTGACAGTATATCAATATGTAATGAAATGGTTGTTAACTTTGTTAATTATTTTCTTGAATTAATTCACTTTTGAGCACTTTTCAGAGATTTTCTAGCCTTTTTCTTTAATGCAGAGTAAAGTCAGTCAAGTTAGAGATAAAAAAGCAAGAGAATTAAAAAAAAAACTATTTTTTAATGTGTAAGAAAATAAAAATGTGAATGAAAAATGTTTAATAGTTTGGTTTAGTAGGATTAATCATGGGCCGGTTACTGGAATCAGCATTTTGAAAGGTTTAGTAAAACCACAAACATTCTTTTTTTTTTTTTTTTTATGTTCCCAAAATGTAAAGCTTATTCAATGAAAATTCAGAAAAAGCTCCAGAGGAACCACACTCTTCTGGTTAACCTGTTGCTGAGCATTACAGGTTAACCAGCTGAATAAGAAAAGCTTTGTTTTTACCCTCTTCTTTTTATTCGTTATGCTTTTTTACAGCTACATAACACTTTTCCACTTGAAATGGACAAATATAACCGGGACTTTACTGAAACGGTATCTGGTAGAAATGATTTGCACAGATACCAGTTTTGCTTTGTGCTTTTGTTTGTCTGTGATTTGATATGATGAACAATTTATTGACATTTAAACAACTGCTGCCTACCCATTTAAAATAAAAGCAATACGATGGTGTTATACATTTTTGCATTCAAATGTTTCTAAATATGAGAAAAATTCTGGTATTTTCACTCAAGGTTGCTACAGCTTGCGTATTTCAAATATTGGCAAAGAGTCAAAAATACTAAGGGAATTAAGAATACCATCTATGATGACTATAAAGAGAAACTTTACTAACAGGTTATTTTGAAGTATTTGTTTGAGTTTCTTAACTACATTTTAAAAGAATTATACCAAGAAATGAACGTGTATAATGTCTTTACATCCTCTAAATAACGCATAAAAATACAACACATTTATGTACAATGATGGGGATATCCCAATTGCAGCTTAACTTTATGGTCCCACAACTGTGATGTTAAACTTGATCGGGAACTATTAAAACTAATTTTAACAATCAAAACCTCAATACATAGTGATGAAAGAGAGCAGATATACAGAACTTGATCTCAAACTTTAACCTAAAATACCGGTAAGTAAAAACAACACGGAACAAAAAAGATTCATCAGGTCAGGAGATTTGTTTCTATTTAACCTCATATTAGCACTGAAATGCAAGCTAAAATTAGTCATGGCTTTAAAGCAAAGTAACAAGCACACCTGTTAAAACAAGTGAATAGGGATTATAGTTTAACCCAAAGGAGAACCAAGTAAAAGGCCTGATTCTTGAAGTGTGTACTAAAAAGGTTAGATTAATTAGATTTGTTTAAAAAGTAGTCACAAATTGTGTTCTCTAAATTAAAACGCTGACATCAAAAAAGGGAACAGCATCTGGAGAGAATTTGCTGATTAAATCTAGAGGAATATACCCACCCTGATGTCATCAGTTAGCACGCTTGGCGTAAAGCATTTGTAGGCCACTTAGGTGAAGCTCTTCTTATAATCTCTGTTATCAGAGTGAACATTCACATCAGTGATAACCATACAGGGAATTACAAATCTTTTCTTATTCATGAGTCTTCGAGTCAATTATATTCCCTTGCAAACAGACTTCAGTTCCCCTTTTCTGCCTGATCAATTTGCTGGCAGACCTGCAGCATTGTTGCTTCAAAGAGGACTTTAAAAGTAAATTTTGGGAAGAAACAATGAGAGTCAAGGTAAAGGGTTTCAGAAAGCTTGTTTCTATGATATCTTCCTTCAACCTTGTGTTATTATGGGCCTTGATTTTGGACTGCACCAGACCCAGGAGGGGAAAGATCCCTTAGATAAAGTAAAAAAGAATATTGATTCCCTTACATAAAAAACATAAAAAAAGAAAAGTTAATGTATAATTTAGCTCATTCTAACTGCATATTCAATTCATTATCATGTATTGATGAATTAAGACAGATCATATAAAAATACAGTGAATAATGCATAGCAATGTGTTATTGTGTCTCAGAGACACCTGAAACTGATTTCTGGTTTTCTTCTAATCTGATCAAATATTAACAGAGAACAGATGCAATAGAACATGGTAATGCCAAAAAGAATTGTCAATTTTTATAAAGGAAACATAGTAAAGACAAATCTGTTTTATATGGAATTTAAAGCATATATCATCTTGGAGCAAGTGTCTATGTGTCATCAAATATTTAACGCACTAAATCACCTCGAATAAAACATTTTTATTCTGTACTCTTCTGAATTCTCGTGTTTGTAAAATCTCCTCACAGCATCTCTCAGCTGTCCAACTCAATCCAGTGTTCCGTCTTCGAGCTCCGTGGCTGCCATCTATTGGTTTGCAATGAGATTGTGTGCCATGCAACAACTTGCTGTTAGTGTGTCTGAGGTTTAACATGTGCGGAGCATGACCAGAACACACAGATCTGCGTGGAATACATCCACCTTTGCTGTTCACTACAAGGCGGAAGGCAACAGAAACGATGCTAATAAACATTAGTAATTCGTGTTAGCCACCACTGTAAATACTCAGAGCTAACACGTGTTTACACCTCCTCCACTCCTGCTATTAGCGCTTCTGAGTAGCTAATCACTGTGATTAGCAACATAACCCATGTGTACTGTACTCGGTGGTTCTCATGTGTCACCTATATACGTTACATGCTAATAAAGAAAACCGTTAGCACTAACTTTTAGCTAACATTAGCCTCTGGACAACGGTTTTCTAAAGATACCATGAGCCTGCTTGGATGAACAAACTTTGCCTCATAAACATAACATAGGAATGAGGCGAAACGTTTAGGTTATTACCTTCGTTCTTCCACCAGTCGTCGCCCAAATCGTCTCCCATATTCCCGAGCTAACGATGCTGCAAATCCAAATAGACCGCTAAAGAAAGTATTTAAGCGATGCGTTTACTGACGCTCGGTAAAAACAGTAAAGGTGCAGTTTAAAAAAGAAAGTCACGCAGTAAACATAAGTATTGGTTATTCACACACTATATTTACAAAGCCATTAAAGTTTTAATATCCTAAATTTTAGAAAATCATATTTTGAATTAAAAATTATAATTGTTATAAAGGATAACTTGAGGACTGTAAATGTTACACTTTTGTAGAATAGCTCCTACGTCATAGTACGATATATTATGAGTAAGTTCACTGAAATTTGTACTTTCTGTATTATAAAGCATTTTACATTTTCTCAAATATATATATATATATATATATATATATATATATATATATATATATATATATATATATATATATATATATATATATATATATATATATATATATATATATATATATATATATATATATATATATATATATAATGACTAACTAATGTTTCCAAACAGATCAGTGCCAACATTAATAAAATAAAATTTATATGGAAAAAGAAATTTCATCTAATCTTTTACAATTTTGACGAAATTAAAGTATACCCAAAATACCCTTCTAATTATCTACGTTTCACAAACAAATGCTGTTAAGCTAGTCACTTTTAAAAGCACATTTTTTTCCTCATAAATCTTATATCTGCAATAATGAAGACATTAAATACAAAAACAAGACAATCTTTTATAGAAAATGGTTTGATAGGGGAATATTACTTGTAAGCCAATTGCTAAATCCAAATGATAATTTATTGTCTTATTCTGACTTTATGTCACTTTTCCAATTTCCTGTTACCCCTAAATAATACGCTGTTGTATTCTGTCGGCAGGTTTAAGCATTTTAAGTTAATTTAGGTGGTAATCAACTGTTTCAGAAGAGCGATCACAGCGCTCTGTATCATCAGTCTGTATCGTTTAGTTAGCCTAGCTACTTTGTCAAGTAAAACAAAAGCCAAAAATATAGAGTCAACAGACCTTCCATCTGTACATTAATAACTTTGGCACATGTGATTCAGTAAAACTCCATGAATACAATTTTTTCTTATGTTTCTAACAACAATTGATGATCCACTGTATCAAAGTATTTCTTCTCATCTGTAAAAAAAATTATATAGGGATTAGCTAATCTTTATGAGTAATCTCCTCAACTACATCCATTAAAGCTGTATGTTTTGGAAATCATATTGATTTTCATTAAGTTAATTATCTTTTTTTAATAAAGCTATCAAGATGAGCTTTAGTAAATATTTTTTAGAATCTTTGAGAACTGAGGTAAAATGGATAAAGGTCTATATATTTGATCATACTTGCCTACCCCCATTTTTGAAAATAGGTACAACTTTTGCAATTTCCATTTGAATTAGGAATGTTCTTGTTAAATATGTGTATATGTGAAATAAATCACATATGTATATGATTTAAAAATATTTTTTTCAGTGCCTAAATAGCATAAATTAATCTATGAAATAAGAAATTAATAGAAATCTAAATTTTCCGACCGCAGGGTACAACTATTTATTTTATTTAAAATCATGTCAATGTGAATGTAAACAGCTGGTTGATTGTTCTTGAATTGATTTATAATGTCTATCATTTCTTTAGGAGGTCTGACAAAGGAACTTCAACCGGCCGTTCAAAGTAATGCTGCTTTCACAGCAGACGCAGCAGACGCAGCAGAAGCAGCGAGTTTACATGCAAAGTCAATGGTTGACGCAGCTCGTTTTGAGCAGCGCGTCTGAGCAGCTGAAGCAGTGCGTCGGGAGCGTTTAAGCATCTGACGCGCAAACCCGCTGCAAACGCACTGCAAACGCGCTGCAAACTCGAGATGGAAAAATTGAAGTTTTGCTGCTCGATGCGCTGCATCAACCAATCAGAGAAGCTGATCTGGGAGCTGACAGCGAGACAGACGCACATCGCTGATGATACAGAGCGCTGTGATCGCTCTTCTGAAACAGTTGATTGCCACCTAAATTAACTTAAAATGCTGAAACCTGCCGACAGAATATGTTCGCTTTTATTATCCTGGTGCCTGCAGTTTGGATTATTTTGAAGAAAAACACCTACCAGCCGCCGCGGTGAACCGCGAGGAGGCGACCCGGCCAGAGGCTGCTGTTGAAGTAAGTTTTCAGGTGGATTTTCCCACTTAAAAACATATTAAAACCACTTTATTTCCACTGATCACAGCAAATATAGCTGCAAGGCAAAGAAAGGATAGAGTAGCTCCGCCCAATGCGCGTCGGACACACTTTTGCACCGCGCAGCCAGAGCAGCAAAGCTGCTTCAGCCACACGTCAGAACTGGTACAACCTAAACTGCAGGCACCAGGATAATAAAAGCGAACATATTCTGCTGGCAGATTTCTGCATTTTAAGTTAATTTAGGCGTCGATAAACTGTGGAGTGATCACAGCACTCTGTGTCATTAGTGATGTGTCTGTCTCACGGCCAGCTCCCAGGTTTGATTAATACTTTGTAATAAATACATGAATAAAGCACAGTCCTACTCAGTTTTGCTCCCGCTGTATTTTTAAATACGCAGTAGAGGTATTTAAACGTAGTAGAGGACATGTACCTGTATATAAAACCCGCGCCCTATAGTCTGGTGTGCCTTATGTGTGTGTTTAATACAGAAATGGCACACATAACTGAGAGTGCGCCTTTTAGTACGGTGCGCCTTATGGTCGTGAAAATACGGTATTTAAATTATTTTTAATACAGCTTTTTCCAAGTCAATGATGCACAAGGCCCTTTACTTTAAAGATCTGTACCCCTCCCTTTGTTGACAGAGTGCACAATGCTCCTCTAGCGGCTCCATACTCCAGATGGTCAGCTGGAGAGGCTGGCCAAATCATACCATGCTGTATTTCTTTCACTCTATTAGCTGCTATTTATAGCCTACTAGTAAAAATAAAACATGATTTATTTGTTCCCATTTCAGCCACAGAACTTATTGTACTACGTTTAGACCGCAAGTGCTGGAAGCAGCAAAACGCTTCTGCTTGTTCACGTTAAGGTCGGACATGGGTGGAGAGCATCTTTGACACTCCTGAAGCGCCTCCAGCAAAGTGTGTCCAGATGCATCTATGCTTCTGCTGCTCCTGTGTTCAACGACAGAGAGTAACTTTGCTATATTTGCTGTTATAAATGGGTAAAAAGTAGTTCTAATACATTGTTAATTGAGAAAATCCACCTGATAACATAATTTGTGTAGTCAGTTCATCAATATTACGATCCTGCGTTCAAATATGATTTAGCTGTCAGAGCCGCTCAGACCCCATACACCAGGGTGCTCTGTCCCTGGAAATCCCGTTCAACTGCAGCCTCTTGATCGGTCGCCTCTTAGGGATTTTCTGAAGACATTCTTCATGTACGTAATCCAAACTGCAGGCACCAGAATAATAAAATCGAACATAGTTTTGCCAATTTTAAGTTAATTTAGGCGTTAATAACTATTTAATAACTGTTTCAGCGGAGTGATCATAGCGTTCGGCATCAGCAGTGCTGTGTCTATATTCCTGCCAGCTCCTAGAACAGCTTCTCTGATTGGTTGGTGTGGCACGTCGAGCAGCAGAAGTTCATTTTTTCCAAGTCCTGCAGCTTCTGTTTTTGCTGCGCGTCTCGTGTGTCAGATGCTCAGAAGCTCATAAGGGCGCTGCTTCTGCTGCTCAAAATGCGCTACAGGACCTTTTGCTGCACCTTTATATGCATCAACTATTGACTTTGCATGTAAACCAGCTCCTTCTGCTGTCTCTAGCGCGTGAACATAGCATTAGTCTGGACTTTGCAGTTTGCTTAGAACTGCAATGATAAAAGGGCATCTATTCATTTTTAAATCCACTGTCTTGATGGCACCAGTTTGGCTAAGTGAAAGTGGAACTTTCTGCAGCAGGCATGTAGTAAGGTCCTCACTAAAAATAATATTTTATTTTACAATCAAGGGGGCAAACACAAGAAGGATATAAAGTGCACAGCATCATTTTGTTTTTAAAATACAAGATCATTTAAAAGTAAAAATTATCTCTCTTTTTCTGGAAGCTGAAATTGGTTGTTTTTACATGTTTCAGTGCAATAATAAACTATAATGACTTGCCAAATGAAGCAGAAATAGCCCACAAACCAGTATTCTACCTTCACAGTGCTATCTTCAACATAAAAACCTAAGGGGTGAGCTGACAAGAGGAAAAGACAAATAATGGTCAAGGATTTCTGTGTGTTTGCTTCAACATTCTAAAAAAGTTAAAGGAGAAGAGAAGCTCTATTACTCCTGTTGCTTTGTTTGCAGAGCGGTAAAGTTGCTTTTTAATGTTTGCAGAATGTGCAATATAAAGAACTTTACATCCTTTCTCGTTAAGGTTTCAGATGCAAGAAAAGGGGAGGATTTGTTTGGAAGATTTCCCTCTATTCTGCAGCTGTAGCGAGGCGGAGGGACGGATCTCTCTGGTGTAATTGCACGTTTTTTTGTTTTTCTGTCAGAATAACACATTTCTGGTTGAAAGGGGGCATGAGATGTTTGATTAAAGCTTTATTATGAAAAAAACGGGAACAGACTGATTACTGTGGAAATTACAAAGGGCTCAAATGCTTCTTCTGCTTGTGTTGCCATGAAAATGGGAGGGATAAAACAAAGGAAGAGAGAGAGGAAGGATGTATTTAACACAATGTGCTATGGTCTGCAAACTTTCAGGAAGGACAATGGACTCTAAATGGCAGCTTTGTTTGTAATTAAGAGTCATTCCTGTAAAACTCTGGGTTCTGCCTCATTTGTCATTTTCTCCTTCCATTGTGAGAAAAAAGGGACTGCAATAAAAACAATGTTTTAACAACCTTCAGGAAAACTCGCTTTATATAACTTTGCTTTTCTATTTGAAGGGAACTGTATAGAAAAAGATAAAAATCTAATTTAATGAAAAAAAAGGCATTTGGAAAGCGTTAGATTTATCAACACTGATAGTGATCCTGCCAAAAATGTCTCCAGTCATCTATAACAGTGGCTGATCAGTCATCATGAAATCCTAATTCCTTTTCACTTAGAACCC